GACGGGGCTCCGTCGGGTCGCGACAATGGGGACGCGGAGCTGCGGGCCGTGGGGTGGCCGCGGGCGGCGGGGCGGAGTGCGGCGCGTCTGGCTCTCGCCGAGTGCCTTGCTGGCGGCGGCCGCGCAGGCTGCCCGGCTCTGAGCGGTGCCTTTTGTCTCCCCGCAGGTGCAGGTGACGCTGGTGTGGTCGCGGGGGTCGCGGTCCCGGAGTCGCCATGAAGGTAAGCTTGCCGCCCGGCGCTGCGGCGGGGCCGAGGTCTGCGGGCCCCGTGCAGGCAGCGCCGGGGAGCTGCGGGACGCGGGCCAAGCAACCTGACCTGGGCGAGCTGTGGGCGCTCTCGGGTGCGCCGCGGAGGGAGCACCTCGCCCGTTGTGAGAACGCTGCTGTGGGTTGCTAGCCGCGGACCTTTTTGATGACCACAAAGCTCATCTTATTGGAAAGATTTTAGAAGGATTTTGGTGATCTTTGCACACTTCGGAGAGAACAGTTCCTTTTTTGAAGGGACTTGGGGTTATATGTTTTCTTTTCCTTTATCGTTGTGTGCCTCTGCAGGTTGTCGTTGCTCTGTAGTGTCGTATGGAAAAGTGATGGCTAGTTCCTTTTCAGTAAACCTGTTAAATCAGTACATACTGTGTCTAGTAAGGCTTAATTGATGGAGGAAATTAAAGCCATAGAAGTACCGGGCTTTTCACTTTAAAGAACATGGGAACAAATTCTGTCTCGTTTGTTCACTCTCTCAGGGATGACAAGCCTAATGTACTGGAAATGTCTAGATTTCACTGGTGTAACTTAGATACCAGCAAGTATTTTTTCACCTATTATAAATTCAGAAGTGCTTAAAGGGTAGAGTGTTCACAAGTATAGATATGCAACAGATAATATGTTAGAATGTAAACTTCATGTACTTTTATTTTTTTGAATACTTTTTATTTTATTTGTTTTTATTTTTGCTATACTGGGAATTGAACCCAAGGTGCTTTATCACTGAGCTACGTCCTCAGCCCTTTTTATTTTTTCCAGATGGGGTCTGGTTTCGTTGCACAGGCTAGCCTGGAACTTTCAATCCTCCTGCCTCACCCTCCCCAGTAGCTAGGATTATAGGCATGTACCACCATCCCTGGCTGCTTTGAATTTTTTTTTTTCCCCACTTCTCTTCAGAGTAAAGACTACTTTTACAGAAATGCATCTAAATTAAAATTTGTAATGCTTGTATTTATGGGAGACAGTGAAAGCTGTCTATTTATTAATATTTATCTACTGTACAAAGTAATTTAGACTAATGAGGCCTCTTTTTGAATTTGGGGTGCTGTGGACTGCCTAGAACAGTTTATATCTGCAGAGTTCTGTCTCACTTTCATGTAAATGAAAACAAACACTGATGTTTCAGAATGAATGCCTTTTGTTAGTCACAAATGCTAGTTAAAATTCCTGTGATCTGTAAAGCAGTGAAAAGTGAATTTATTAGGAAAACCGTGTATCTATGTTGGATGAGAATTTAAGAAAACTTTGGGTTGTTTAATAGATAACAAGTTCAGAAGCTGAATAGTATTTGGGATAAATGTATTGTGTTGCAGTTACAATTGTAAAGCCTGGTACATTATAGTTCTCTGTAAATGTTTGGCTTGTAGATATATAATAAGCAGAGGTGTTTTAGTTTTAAAGTTTCTTTTTTTCCTTTCGTTTCCTTTTTTAAACTTGCCAGGTTAAAAAATGAAAGCATATGGGAAACTTTAGCCCTAAAAGTTTCAGGGTATTAGGCAAATGCAAATTTTTTGATATAATTTTAGAACTAATAATTTTAGTGCTTAGCATTTCCATTCTTAAAGTTAAAAAGAAGTTAGTAACTTTAAAAGGAAAAAGGTTATGAAAACAAATTTCCAACTTTACCAAGAACTGTACAGCAAGTCTTCTCTTAGGGAAATTACCAGTAATCATTAGTATTAACAACTTAGAAGTTATGTGGTAAAAGATGAACTGCTCATGATTTTTATTTTGCTTTATAGCAAAAACAGCAATTGGAAATGCATTTAGTGTTGATTATATTGGGCTTAATTTTTTTTTGAGTTAGTGTGTTCTCAGTTTTTGCATTATGGTGACAGTTGTGCTGTAGAGGATTTATACCATTTATTGGCTCTTAACCAAATTTCTGCTTTGAAGTAGGGTTTTAAGTCTATATTTCATAGTACTCTTTGCTTGTTGCCTTCTAGTCCCCAAATAAAGAAAATGTATACATCACTCTAAGTATTATGCTTTAGTACCAGTTTTCCAGTAGAAAAGAATTTATTTAAATAAAGCCCTGTGCTGCTTAGCATACTCCATCGTGTGATATTTTTGCAGTGTGTTTTTTGAGAAATATAACTTATGACATTAAAGCACTTTATGCCTTATGTAGATCATAATGTTGGTGCTCTGTTGGATTTGCTTTTCCTACTTGTGGTAGACCTTTCAATATCAGTGTTAGCACATTAGAAGGAAGCGGTAGATTATTAAAGTTTGTAAATAATTCTAAGGATTGTGTCAAGATTCGTTTTCTAATTTTTTTCTAATGAAACCTTTTTCTGCTTTCATATTATGTATTTTGCTAGCATCTGCTTATAATGAGTGTATTTTTGAATGAAATGGGCCAGACATCTTACAATTTTCAGGGGATCCGTGATTTAGATAATTGTACTCAGAATCTGGGTAGATTGGCTTTTTGTATATTCCATTATCTCTTTAATAACCCTGGCTTAGACCCTGTAAAAATGTGGATTGATTACAAATGTCTCTTTTTTTAATGCCCTATATGTGTGCACATGTTCCCTCTATCTCTTTCTTTCCCCTCTTCTGTCTTTATCACATCCTTTTCTCCCTCCCTCCCTCATCCTTTCCTTCCTCTGCCTTTGCCCCTCTTTTATAAATTGTTCATTTAACAATGTCTTCTATGTGTCACGCATGTGGGATGAACACGTATAAGTTATCTGACTTGCTTTCAAGGAGTTCACAATTTAGTAGTAGACACAAACAGTAAAGCAAAACTCACAGTATATTGCATTACAAGAGTATTTATTCCAACATATGCTAACTGTGGTAAGAGTTGTGGGAGGACAGACAATGTCTAAATCAGAAAGTTTTCTGATGACATTGTGTAAGAAGTGTTAAAGCTTTTGCCAGACAGATAATGAGAAGAATGTTTCAGGTAGAGGGATAGACAAGATATCGGACAATAAAGAACAAAACAGAAGTGGTTTATTTGTAGTTTGCCAAGTCTGTGGTAACAAAGTATGATGTGTTGAGTGTGAGAATAGAAGGACAATGATCAGTAATAGGAGATGGAGCAGGGTGAAGGAGTTGAATATTTTTTGTGTATGTTGGGGGGGGGTGGAATTGGTGCTGGGGATTAAACATGAACGTTTTGCTGTTGAGCTGCAACCTCAGTCATTTTTATTTTTTGAAATAGGGTCTCACTAAGTTTCTGAGACTGGCCTTGAACTTGTGATATTCTTGCCTCAGACTC